TCAAGGTTATTAGTGGGATATCTACATTGTGTTGTTTTTTGCAAGTGTTAAACCATCAAGGTTATAAGTGGGATATAAAGTATTAATCGAATTATCTTAGTAATATATTTGATATTTTATATATCATGGAACTTTTCAAGAAAATTGTTAATCTGTACTGTTTCCAATATTGCTGTGTTGGAATCCTTTTGGTCTGTGATTAAGAGAGATTGTACTAAGAATATTTAGATCATATTCACTAGCATTGTGTCATTACAACAAGCGATTCAATGATTACTGCTCACTACACTAAGTAAACGTTATTTTTCAAAAATATCCTGTTGAACCTTCAAGATTAAAATTGGGATGTACAGTTTTCATTTGAGTTCTGATAGAGATGACAAATGACAGCAACGACATAAACTTACCTAATGCTGACATTCAAGACTTCAATGTCCCGTCAGAAAGTCTCAAACAGTTCAAGCAGCACCCGCCCTGACAATGACCCTGCGGTAGACGTCACAACAACAAACGGGTCACTGCCCTGACCCAAGTTCAGGGCTACCGAAATTATTTGAGGAAAAGTACCACAACATCAAAATTGATAAACAGCAGTTTAAAGCAGGCGAAGAAGTGCACAAAACGAGAAAGAATTTTTTCGGAAAACAGAAGAATGAATAAATAAATGCAGTGAAGATGCCATAAAGCCGATCAAGTGATAGGAAAAATTGTGCCAGTATTGAAATGCAAGCATGTGAATATGAACACCAAACTAAAGAAATGCTGTGTTTAACGCAATATTCTTACCAACACTATGTTTTAAATGTCACACATGGACAATGTCTCAAGAATACAGATGAAAAAATAGACACGACATAAACGGAATGTTTATATACTATGCGATATGTAACAAGGGAAGATCTTGCGAAAATTTCTGGTTGCTCATCCACTTCTTTCGCAGATTTGCAGTTCTACGGTCTGTGTTAATTTTTGTAAACTGGCTTTTGCTTTGCTTCGCGAACACTGGCTGTAAACTCTCGCAGAAACTTTTGGTTGTTCATCCACTTCCTATGCATATTTGTTACCAAAGAATTCGCAATGATAAGGAATTGATTTCATCCAACAAGAGACAAATGTGTTTGTGCTGTTTATACCTTGAGGATACATATTTAGTAGTGCTATGAGTACTGTTAAGAAAACTACTCTGGGTGAAAAAAGTATTGCACATATCAATTTCATACTGATTGTGCTTGTTTACTAATTATTAAAGAAGAGTATAATTATATGTTGTAGTAGTCTACTAATAATAATAATAACCATCAATCATTTATATTTATGTTATGTATGACATGTGTGTGTTTCATAGCAGTATTTATATGCGCTAAATTTAAAAAAAGTACAAATGTCACCCACCCACCCCCCCCCCCCATCCCCCCGCTCCTCTGATGCAGCAATACCCTCTTATAATCAAAGAGTTAGCACTGATATTTCTTTACTTTTGCTGGAACAACTTTTAGTTTACATCTTAACGTTTTTGATGTTTATGTTCATGTTGACCGTAGCAAAAGCATTTTTGTTTGTCTGTAAGAGCCTTTATTGTTTACGTATAGTTCTAAAAAAAATGTGTCGAAAATTAATGAAACTGTATTTTAATTTGTGTATACAACTCCTCGATAAAAACTGTGGACGCAGAGGGACTCAATTCTTGCACAAGAACGGGAATTTCCGTTCGAGCTGTACGGCCTATTAAATCTGGAGCTGGCCGTGCTTACAACTAACTACGCTAACAACTATTCAAGCATGTAGTAGAAATGAAATTATATACAGTGGAACCTCGCTTAACGAGCATAGTTCGTTCAAGAATCATACTCGTTAAGCGAAACACTCGTCATGTTTTTAGAACATGTCAACATGTGAGTGCATAGCGTAGTTGGTATCACATCCGCCTTATAAATGAAAGATACCGCGTTCAGTCACTACGTGATGCTTTTCATCCTTTGTGAATTTTAAAAAAAAATTAAATGTAACTTTTGTGTGTGTGTGTGTTTGTTGTCACAACGCTTTTTTTCACTAAGCTCCTCGGTGGTCAGCTTTTGGCTGCGCTCTTTCACAAGCTCTTCGATATCACTTTTATCCACCTACAATCCCATGATGATAGTGGCCAAAGATACAATCTCGTTGACTACAGGCTCCACAGGTACTGTCTTGAACCCCTCAAAATCGCAAATCGACAACGCTCTCCGGCCAAAGCTTCTTCCAAGAAGAAGTTAGGGTTCTCTTGGTAACCCATATCCCCCCCCCCCCCCCCCCCCCCCCGCCTTGTCCATCACGTTGAGGCAGGCAACGATGTGGAAGTGATTTTTTTCTAAAACTCTTTGAGAGTGAGGTTGGTCACTTCAGTCACCTGAAAACAATGCCCGAAGAGTGCTTTATTGTAGCGCTTCTGAAAGTTAGAAATAACTTGCTGGTCCATGGGCTGGAGTAACGGAGTGATGTTGGGAGGTAGAAACTAGATCTTGATGAACTTAAATTCTTCAGGGAAGTCTAATAGGCCTGAAGGAATTATGTACATATATCACAATATAACACAAGTTTGAGAAAATGTGTGATCACAGGCGACACTACAATGCTACTGGAACGAGTGCTAAACTGACTGATGTAACATGTGCACAATTCGGGACTTACACTCTCCTCGCCACTCGTTATGCGAAACGTCGCTCGTTAAGCAAGTCATTCTTTTACAATTTGTTTTGCTCGTTATGCGAATTACTTGTTATGAGAGGTGCTCGTTAAGCGAGGTTCTAGTGTAATAATGTGAAGTTTGGTTTTACACACAGAGTCAAACGTAGCTAACAACTAAAAACAAATCCGGGCCAGCAATGAAACCCCTAATGAAATGATCGTTGCTGGAGCTACGTCGTGGTTTGTGCAAAACTCATACATACAATTACGCGCAGAGTCTAAGGCAACGTTGTGTGAAAATCTGAATGCGATCGGTAAAGAAATGTTGGAGATTGATCCTGGGGGGAAAAGGCCTATATTGGCAGCCCTGCTCAGCAGTCGAAGGTGACCAATCAACTAAAAACAAATTCGGGCCGCCAACGAAACAAATAATTATGTGACCATTGCTGAAGCTACGTCGTTCGTGGTTTGTGCGATTTATGACAATACTTACAACGAGCCTTGGTGATATCCCCGGGAACTGCCAATATTTTTGCTTATACTTTACCTTTGGCTTGTTGAAATGTTTTTTCAAAGTAAAAGCCATATATGAAGGTGAGCAATTATTTCTTTAAAAATCACATGAAAAAGAAACACAAAGTTAGCACAGTGAGGATACGGTTGAAACAAAGTTAGTGTCATTTGCGCGCCCTTTTAATTAATCAATTCCGAGGCTGCCAGTGAGAGTTCAAAGTTTGAGTAATCGCAATCGTCACAATGTATGTGCCAGACCCCCCAAAAATGTTGTAGTAAATATTTTACACGGTAATTTTTTAATTGACACTGAAAGAAACAAAAAATATTCAACTTCAAATGAAAAGAATCTAGAAAAACATCTACCATTAAAGCGTCAAAAAGACATCTAAATGCAAGGAAAAACAACTAAATGTGGATGTAAAACATCCAAAGTGGCTACACTGCACGTCATAGTCAAGCGCATAGTTTTGCGAATTGAACTTGGATGTAGAGAAACCGCGAGAAACCACAAACTGAACACCCTGGAATTTATTGTGACGTCAGGGGTACGTAAAAAGTACAGAACCAAAAAAAAAAAATGTGAGCTTGGCAGTGCGAGACACCACAGCTATGCCGTGACCAGGATTCGAACCTGGGTTGTCGCGGCCACAACGCGAAGTACTAACCACTATACGATCACGGCCAGGACGCTCACGGAGTCTCCGGGGCTTTTAAATTTTGTAATCGGAAATACAGAACATTGACGTGTGCTTGACATCCTATAAAATGTTGTGGAATAAATAGTTTTCGATTCTGAAAAAAAAAACAATAAAAAAAAAAAAGGCTAGCTTAAATGAACAGAAAAGGCACACAAGATGCATCACTTTACGTTTCAAGGGAACGAAACAAGTAACTAGTTTATCATATGTTGTTTTATACATAAATAAAGCACTGATTAAGTAGGAATAATGCCCGACAACAACCACTGTTTTCTGCCCCCCCTCCCCCCCCCAGCATATGTTACTATTTTGTCCCGAGGAGCACTGCCTCGCAGGTTTTTCTATTATTCCATGATATGTTATTTTACGGCATGCTTGTTAGGAGGAAGAGTGCCCCCTCCCCCCCCCCCCCCCCCCCCCCCCCACCGTTAGAAACCACACGGGAATTTTACAGTACTGGATATTTATGTCTAGCAATTACTTTATTTATAAAAATTAATGTAATATTAAATCGATTGTGTTTTAATTGTAACATGTTATAGGAGTCTAGATTGCTCAGATTATTATACTCAAGTGCACCCTTTTCAAATAAATAATTGTGATGCCGACTTTTTTCAATTAACGATTTTAGACACACCGAAAACAAATTCTTGCATAAATTGCTGGCCCTGCCTAAAAAAAAGCCAGATTGTGATAATATAATATATAAATATATAACAGTGTATATGTGGATTGGAGGGGTTTTCAGAAGTGTGTTATTGAAGAGATGAGAACAGAACATAGTGACTAGTAAAGAATAACGCTCACAGAGACTGTAAAAAGCAGACAACTTAATTATTGTGCTTTTTGTACAAGAAGAAACAGAACAATATGTAGATAGTTGCTAGGCAGTCAATTAGAAAGCAGCAAACTTCATTTCTTATCGTTCATTCATTCTTTAAAAAACAATACAAAGTCGACTATATATATATATATATATTGTATATATAAAAATTAATCTCAAAGTGATTCCATCTTTTCGAAAAAAAATCAAAAAATCTTATAAGGGGTCAAAGGTTGCGGTTATAAGTCATAGGTCAACTAGAGGGTTGTTTCCTCTGTGTTTAAAATCGAAAGAAGATATTTATGCTTCCCACCATTGCCTGTGATATGTCTCTTGTTGAAGAATTTCCGCTGATCATCCCAAGCATCACCTCGGATGGTGTTTGCAAGTACTCAGGTTTTATCAGTATATGTGTAAGTATTTTCTTAAAATCAAAAATGCATTTTTCTTTACTTCACTGTTTCCATGGCCATAGTCGCCGGACCCTGGGAGTTAAATATCAGTGGCCCCATAACATTGGGGGAGGGGAGTGGGGTGTCTCAACCCACCACTCCGCCACGCCCACCCCCATTGCACATTTAAAGTTAAAGTGGGGAGGGAGGGTAGAAACCCCTGATCATTACAAATCCAGACAAATGTGAAAGTAATATTTGAAAAGAAAGAGCAAGATAATATACAATGCAGAATGGACACCATCAGTTATATTGATGAAGAATACACACAAGAACAATGGGTCAGAGTCTATACAGATGGGTCCTGACAAAGTGCAGTTGAAAATGTTGGTGCTGGAGTGTACACCGAATTCCCAGATGGTACTAGGGATATGTCCAGCTTACCAACCGGGTTCACTGCCATAACTATGATGCAGAAACTCAGGCTACAAAGATAGCAACAGAGAAACTGCTAAATACCAATCTTGGCTATCAGTATAAGGTAATGCTGTCAGATGCAAAATCCGTACTTGAAGCACTCCAGGTCTACGAAACTACCAGAATTGCAAGCACTGCTGACACAACTCAGTCTTCAGTGAAGGGTCGTTATGCAGTGGATGCTGTAATATTGTGGAGTGCCTGGAAATGAGAAAGCTGATCAACTGGCGGGAGAAGGTGCGACGAAAGTGCAGCCTGATGTACCAGTCACATACCACCAAAAGAAAAGGATCATTACATCGATCAGGAAACCACCAGCCCCAGCACAAGACGACTATTTTATTATGGACAGACCAGAACAAGTCATTATCCTCCGCCTCAGAACAGGGCACAACCGATTATGTAACCTACATATACACAAAATTCAAGATAGGCGTATCAGCCATGTGCACCTGTGGAAATGTGCCCCAGACAACAGAGCATGTACTCCAGGACTGCACCGATTTTGACACATTAAGGCAAACCTTTTGGCCAGAAAGAACAACAGTGGAACGTAAACACTATGGACCACTGAATAAACTAACAACGATAGTGAAATTTATACAAGAGACAAAACTGCTGATATAGACAAATTATTTCAGGCAAACGAAAGAAGAAGAAGAAGATCAGTATATGTGTAATTATTTTCTTAAAAACAAAAATGCATTTTTTTTTGCTGTTTCCATGGCCATAGGTGCCGGACCTTGGGAGTTCAATTCCAGTGGCCCCATCACAAAGTTTAACATGGAACGAACGAAGGAACGAACTTTATTTTCAAAGGGTTACAAATTGGGCACGCAGGCCCGTCTGACATTCGGCCCTTCTAAGCACTCGTTTTCCGGAGTACCAATGCCTGTTATTTAAAATGCATGTTATAGATATAGAATAAAAATATACATTATAGAATATAATACATACATCATGTGTACACAATCTTACACACTCACAGACATATATATATATGCTCTCACATTCTCATACTTGCACACTCATATACAGACATACCTAAGACATACATACATACATACATATATACATCTACATATATACACAAGCAGAAAAAACACACACATACATATACTGACATGTATGCACACACACATTCCATACATACACACCTACACATGCATGCATGCATACACACACATACAATCACATGTACAGACACCCACAACCACACATTCACACTCACATGTGTGGCGCGGTGATTTCGGTCACAGGCATGAGGGTGATGTGTATAAGGAGATATTCCGTACCCCACTCGGGCGCCAGTCCTTCACTGTTCTGGTTTTACGGAACCTCCTGCAAGACTCCTGTTGCACGTCCCCGTCGTGCGCCACGGATAATGTCTCAAATGAGCATTAACAGAGTTGGCAGGGGATCTCGGAGCTGGCGGCCCCTAGAGGTGTAGAGTCCTTTCTGGCTCTCACCAGCCCGCCCCCAAACGCATGGGTGAAAAGTAACAAAACTCAAGGACTGCTTGCTAAATGTACCATCAAATGACAACTCTTGGTTAAAATTCGGGAGCGAATGGAAAACTGTGCTGCTGAGACTCAACCCTGACCGAGAGATTTACCCGTAGCCAAGACGAGTAACATCTCTTGTGGGCGACTTCTCGCAGCAAGATCCCACCTACGTACATCCTCTGTCAATCCTCAGTGTCGTCGTCACCGCGCTGAGGTACACCACGGCAGCAACTTTTCATATGCTGGCTTGGAAATAATGTCCGACAAAGTTATACCCCACGGCACATATGCAAGCTCAAAGTCCGACGATCATAATTCGTACCGATTAAGAAAAAGTCCGAATGTCCGTATCCACTGGTCCAACTCGCCCGAGTGTTGGGACCAAACAGGTGAAGCCACGCCTGACGCATTTTGCTTCCCCATTCTGTCGTGCTAAGGGCACAGCTGAAACAACGTGTGGCCACAAACGTCCTAGACCTGCGGGCTGATCTCTGGAGAGCGCAGCCTTGTAGCGCGGGAAGCTCAATACACGGTTGTGAGGTTAAGCAGTCATGGGCAGGACGTGACGATTCCTTGGGTGAGCCCAGAACCAGAGCATCATGTGTCGGCTCTGCATTTATGGAAGCCTCCTTGGATGGCGGGGAATGCCCATGATCTGCCCCTGCCTTCCCTTGAGGGCTGAAAACTCTACATAGAGCTGCCTTAAGGACGACATGCCGGGGGCCACACTTGTTAAAAGTCAAAGAGGACACCACACAAATAAGGCAACATCTCGACCCACACAAAACAATGGCCACAGTCAACCTAGAAATAGGCTTGACGTCTTCCTCCGAAGTCGGAGTACATCTGCCAGAGAGGCGGGGAACGAGTACTGCAAACAAATAAGCCAGTAAAACGAATGTACACGCAAAACTCAGGTCAAGGTAAAAGCCAAAAGTCCATTTTGGACGAACAACCGTGACTTACCGCCGGAATTCACAGCCGGTGAACAAGAAGAAGAAGAAGACACTCACATGTAAACATACATATACACATATACATACACACACCTACATATTTACACACATACATGCATACTTGCATACATACCTACACCCACATACTTATACATCTACAAATGCATACACACATCCACAAACATGCATACATACACACACCCACATACATGCCGACACACATTACATACATGCCCACACATGCATGCATAGACACACATACAATCACCCATACAGATACTCACATACATACATACATACATTCACTCATGTATACATACATTCATACTTGCCTACATTATGTACACACATACACTCATATACAGTCACACATACTTACAACACATACATAAATACACACACAAACAAACTTAAATATACATTCATATATCCACATGCATGCATACACACACACCCACAATCACACACACCCAGATAATGCATACATATATACACACATATAGATACTTTTATACATACATACACACACATAATACATACCCACATACTTACATACATGCATACATTCATAAATACATACACATCCACAGCTACATATACCGACACACATCTATATACATGTATGAATACACATACACCCAGAGACTTACACAGATACATTTACATAGAAACATTCTCATACATATACAGACATACATAATACATGCACCTACATACATATATGCACACATACATACATACATGGACTACATGTACATGCATACACACATCCATACATACACTCAAATACTTAAACATGCTTTCAAACATACACACATCCATACATACACTCACATACATACTTTCATACTTACCTAAATACACACACACATGCATGCATACATACACACACATACATGCATACATACACCGACATCTTTACACACATACATACATAAACAGACACACATGCATGCATACATACATATACAATCACCCATACAGATACCCACATACATACATCACATGCATCCCACATACTTTCCACATACATAAAAAAAATATATATATTTATATAGACACATACTTACAAACCTAAATATACCTTCACATATTCACATACACATATACCCACAATCACACACATGCCCAGATAACACATACATACACACACATCCATAATACATACCCACATACTCACACACATACCAACATTTATAAAAAGACACACACACCACATACCGATACATCTACATATACCTACATACATCCATATACATGCATAAATACACACACACATACTTACATGGCTACATTTACATACATTCATTCTCATACGTATACAGACAAACCTGATACATACATACATATACGCACAAATACATACATCTACATGTATACATGTATACATACATACATACATACATAGACTACATCTACATATATACATAAAACAAACATATATCAATACATACATGAACACACATGCATACATACATGCAAACATACATACATACACAAACATAAAATGCACATACCTACATACATGCACATATACACACACATACACCCACATACTTGGAGGGGGGGGGAGCCCTCAACCCATCACTCCGCCAGGCCCACCCCCATTGCACATTTAAAGTTAAAGTGGGGAGGTAGGGTAAAGGCCACTGGTCTAAAAAAAACTACTAAAAAAAGGGGGTGGGGTGGGGGGATATCAGATCCTCTGTCTTCACTTCCAGTTAGAAAACCCATAAAATGCAGATTTCCTTTCCGTAAAGAATTTAACTGTTTACTTTGATTATATATTATAATTTGGCATGACTTAAAACAGTTTAAAAGTCAGTTTTTCACAGGTCTATTGTATCTCACTGTGCCTTCCATCATCATCATCCTGCCATGACAGTCTCAGGCAGTGCGTATTTTTTATTATAATTATTAAACTGATATTAGAGCAGGGTGATTATCCTTATTCGACCTATATTTTTCAAATCTACAAATTGTTAAGCATTTTATATGCATATGTCATAATTATCAGTTGTTGATGATGTTAGTTTGAGAAATGTTTATCTGATCACTTCCAAACCCAGATCGTGAATTTCACCAAATGTGGCCACAATGCCTAGTAACATTTAGTTATTAAGTTTAAATGCATACTAAGATACTCATGTTACAACAAGTAACAAATGAACAACACACAAACAGTACATACTTACCCACAAAGAGCAGCTAATCCACAGGTGTACACAGTAGCTGATTAGAAATGTTTATTCATTTTACTGTCAGAGTCCTTTCCTGTCACAAACGGAGTGAAACAGGGCTGCATGCTCGCACCGTCACTGTTCAGTCTGTTATTTTCAGCCACGCTGACTGATGCCTTTGTAAATGATCACACTGGAATCAACATAAATTACTGTATGGATGGAAAGCTGTTCAACCTCAGAAGGCTGAAAGCGAAAAGAAAAACTGAATCAGACACCATCAGGGAGCTTCTGTTTACCGACGATTGTGCCCCTTATGCCAACACAGAAGTGGATATGCAGCAAAACATCGACAAATTCAGTAATGCCTGTACAAACTTTGGGCTTACCATCAACAAAGATAAAACTGTAGCCATGCACCAGCCAGCCCTAGGGCAAAGATACATCGAGCCCGATATCACAGTGAATGGTCACAGATTAAATGTTGGCAGGAAATTTACTTATCTAGGCAGCACCCTTTCACAGAGCGCCACAATTGATGACGAAGTAAATGCAAGGATCTCTAGGGCTAGCGTTGCCTTTGGCAGACTACAAAAATGTTTGGAACAGAAATGGCATAACCCTGCAGACAAAGCTTAAAGTATACTGAGCAGTTGTAATAACTACACTGCTGTACGCATGCGAAACAAGGACTGTATACCTGGGCCAGGCTAGAAAGTTAAACTAAACCACTTTCACACAGTCTGCCTTAGAAAACTAATGCAAATCAGATGGCAAGACAAAGTACCTGATACCGTAGTCCTTGAGAAAGCAGCCATGCCCAGCATCCACACTCTGCTGATGCAGTATCAAATTTGTTGGGCCGGTCATGTGGCACGCATGCCAAATCACAAGCTTCAAAAAAAAAAACTCTTCTACGGTGAGCTGCAAAATGGAAAACGTTCCCAAGGCGGGCAAAAGAAACACTTTAAAGACACCTTGAAGTCTTCACTCAAAGCATTTGGGATGAATGACACTAATTGACCGAAATACATGGCGTGCAACTCTACACAAGGGCGCGGCTACATGTGAAGCAAACAGAACAGCAAGACTGATTTAAGAAAAGGATGGGCAGGAAGGCGACTGCAAGAGATCGCCTTCCTGGCACAACACTCATTCCCTGTCCTCACTGTCCAAGAACTTTTCGGGCCCGCATCGGCCTCATCAGTCATCTTCGTACTCATATGTGATGAAAAAGTGTGGTCATCATCATCTTGATGGACAACACACATTCATTTTAGAAAACAGTCACTTTACAGTGTGTAAATTATACTTACTATAGGTTAACTAGCATCCAAAATGTTTAACACACTGCTCTATTAGAATATTTACAAAGTTAAAACTGTACAGTAAAGGCAGAAAACACTGGCTAAGTTGGAAAGCCATTCAGCTCATGGTTTGAAAGTTGTTAGTAAGTCAATAACAGTAAAGGACCCTTTTCCACACCTTTAGGTGTATTGGGCATATAGGTTAGTTAGTCTTTCCTCTTGTGTCGAGTGCGGCACATAGGGCAGAGGTCATGACTCTCCATGCATGGCGGTTCGTTGCAATCTGTTGTAGGTCTTGGAAGTTTGAGTGGCCCATGAGCGAGCCTTTCCTGATGATAGTTCTACGTAGAGTTTCCCTTGGTTTTCCACGAGATCTTTTTCCCTGTGGTGTCCAAATGAGGGCTTGGTAAGGAAGTCTTGATTTATCCATTCTAAGGGCTTGGCCGACATAGTTCCAGCGGCGTTTTCGTATAAAATTAGACACATACTCTTGCCTGGATTCTTGCCTTATTTGTGTATTGGTTCGGAAATCTGACCATTTGAAATTTTTTAGTATTCTTCTAAGGCATTTATTTTCAAAATTGTCTAATTTTGTGTCTAGAGTTTTCGTTGATTTCCAGCTCTCGCATCCATAGGTTAGTACTGGAATCACACAAGAATTGAAGATCTTGGGCATATAGGGCTAGACCTATAATTTATACACCAATAAGCACTCAGTGGATGATGTGGTCAGCATCAGGCCGGCTACCTTTACTTCCCAGGACTATACCTGATACTAACTCAAGAATGGGCCAACCTGAGAGCCAGTCATTTTTAAAAAACATCCGGTTCCATCAGGACCCAAACCCATGACCGTCCGATCCGCAGGCGAGCGCCTTACCACTACACCATGGTGGCTCCTAACTTATACTTGATGCTGTTCCATATTGTATCCTAAAGGATAAGGGGGAAAGCACTGCAACTAACAGATGTTGAAGAAGTTGGTCTTTCACTAATATCTGTTTTCCTTGTTGCAGCTAACTCTGTCATTGTTGTACAGACTGAAGGAGTTACTGCAGCACCTTCACTGATGATTTCTGTTTGAACATGTCTGCAGGGTCATTCTTACAGAATCTGCGTACTGGTTCCTGGCAGTGGAGATCTGTCTTCTTCCAGACTGGAATGTGAATGGAACCTGCAGCACAGGCTCTGCCATAAAACCAGTCTCATTCAGCAGGTGCTGCGGTATTATATTATTTTTTTTTTTTGCCGTAAGCAGAACGTATTAATTTATGAGGTAACTGTCATATATCACAGTGTATAAACTGTGTAAGTTAGTTGGCCACTTTTACAGTACACACTTATTTACCACCGGGACATGAATGATTCATATATTGAGGTTGATTAATAGAAACAGAATGCCATGGACATTGTTGCAAAACAAAGGAAAACCAGGAAGGGAACGAGGATGAAGAAGGTAATGCAGACAGTTTAAGAGATGAGCATCTGAGACAAAGCACATTGAAGACATGTGATGACAACAGTGATCATGATATCCCAGGCTCTAACTGTGACAAACTGTTTTTTCAACTCGAGCAGGTCTTGCTAGTCATACTCACCGTCACAGTGGGCGGTGATTCCTTGCCTCAAAGTATAACACTATCATTTGGAAAGAAAGTACTGAGTTAGGAATACTTGTTGAATCACATCTCTCACTTCTAATTGCTTATTTCCTGTTAAATTAAGTCATTTTAAAATATCAAAAGTTTAAAGACCTCTTTTCCACATTGCATGTGAAGTTTTGGGGAAAAGTGTATATTTTTAAACCTGTCAGCACTTCATGAGTGATGTGGTCAGTGTTGTGATCTGTTCTCTCCTGTATGTACCTGGTCTGAAGCAGACGTCCAGGCTCTCATTCCCAGAATGTTTCCCGGTATTCACTTTTATGTTGAGAAAATCATGGATGGAGAAGAATGTTGAGAAAATTATGGACTCGGGAGAATGTTGAGAAAATTATGGACTCGGGAGAATGTTGAGAAAATTATGGACTCGGGAGAATGTTGAGAAAATTATGGACTCTTGAGAATGTTGAGAAAATCATGGATGGAGAAGAATGTTGAGAAAATTATGGATGGAGAAGAATGTTGAGAAAATCATGGACTGGGGAGAATGTTGAGAAAATCATGGACTGGGAAATATATTGAGAAAATCATGGACTGGGGAGAATGTTGAGAAAATCATGGACTGGGGAGAATGTTGAGAAAATCATGGACTGGGAAGAATGTTAAGAAAATCATGGACGGAAGAAAATCAGAGACTGATTTTTAGAGCTGCAGGCCTGAAGTCCAATCACCAAAACCATAGGAAGAAGCAAATGAACTTTATGGGGCATATCAGAAGAAAAGTAAAATTTGAAATTAGTTTTATACGGGTTCATACTAGGCAGGAGAAGCAGAGGAAATGGAGAAAGGTAGAAAATGTGCACGGCTGGGTAACAAATAGTAATATGAGTGACACCAACTACAACAAAATATGAAATGACAAAAAATTTGGGAAGTCGTGATCACCAGTCTCTGCTGGAGACCAGGCATCTTAAGGAGGAAGAGGAGAAGTAGAAGAAAAAGAATGAATAAACAAATGAATAAATTAATGTACTTTATTTTCAGTGGGTTGAGAATTGGGCAGCAGGCCTGTCTTACATTCTGCCCCTTTGACCTCCCTCTTTTCATACCTTCTTCCATTCACCTTACTTCATTTAATAGATAATTAAAATAGTATTAGTAATAATAATGATGATGATTTTATAAATTTCATCAACAGCATCAAAGTCAGTACAGTCACTGATTTTGCCTACATTTTGAAAACAGTAATATTATAAGAGTAAGATGAAGAAGAGGAAGACAATGACAACATTGAAGAATTGACAGTCTACAGCATTTCCACACTTAGATGTATTGCTGTACATAGGTAGCATTGGATGACTTACTGTGAACACAGCTGTGGTATTATGATGATTCACAGATGTGACTAAGATAGAAACAGACAGAATGGCTGGTAACAGAGCAAGTAAGGAAAGGACCCTTTTCTTGTCTTTAGCAAATCAGGCATATATTTCTGTTGACCATTCAGCACTTGTTGGGTGATGTTGTCAACACCACACTGGCTGCCATTACTCCCCAATACACTACCTGGCACCCATTTAAAGCTGGGTTGACCTGGGAAACAAGGTTAATTCAGAAAAAAAAAATCAGCCTCATGTGGATTTGAACCTTTGACTGTCAGGCTGGCAGGTGGGTATTGGCCTGTATGCTACCATGGTTCACTAGTATCAGAGTACATAAGTGATATCACAAGTCCACATTTACGTATTTTTGTTAACGCTTTCTGTTTCAGAGGCTTCAGAAATCAAAGAATCTTGTTGCCTTCCTGAAGGACTTTGCTCTGATTGCTGTAAGTAGCGTAGGGAGAGAGAAGCTACCGAAACAAAAATAGAGTAAGATATAAAAACCGCCATTTCTGCTTTAGCTTCTCTTCATTAGCTTTTGCTTCTTGGAATGCATGTGGTTTTGAACCATATCTAAAATCATCTCCTTACCTTTCTACATTGAAAGCTCTTTTATGTCTGCTATCCTTCTACAGTATACTATTCCTCTAACACCTGCTGATTCGGTACCATCTAATAGCTCTCTACAGTATTCTCTTTTCCCCAGGCTGGTTCAGGGGCTCCAATGTGGGTCAACAAAGCATAAACCTACTGCCTCCTTAACAAGCAGGTCATACAAGGAAAGTAGTTATGGATGTTTCGTTCAGAATTGGAAAGCATCTCCTTGAGAGGTGAAGAACTAATAGTCTAAATAAAAATAAGCCAGATCTGTAAAATGGATGTGCACGTGAAACTCATATTCTATATCAAGACCAAAGTTCAGAAGTGGACAAACACTAAGATTAAGAAGAGAAGCTGCCTCTTTACCTTTTACTATTTCTCTGTCTCCTGTTACCTCACTCCGATCTGCTACCTCAGTTATTGGCATCCTTCTGTCTTTGCAGATGAAAATGTTATATCATGCTATAGGGAGGCATGGCACTCACATCCAATGGTGTAACCAGTTAATGCCGAGAGGAAGTTCCTCCTCTCTGGCTCAAAACCTGGACAGAAGAGACCATGTGATGTTTATGCAGCATGATCCCTGCAACTTTTTTGTCCCATGCTAAAGCCTTTATAATTTTCTAATCTCAGCTTAAGGAGATGCCAGACATAAGTATTTCATTGATCATGTTCTGCAACACTACAGTTGCTTGCTACAATTTGACTTTTCACACATGTAAAAACGTTCGCATCTTCCTCTTAGTTTCACAATAATTGTGTCCTCTGACAATAATTGTGTATCCTCTTTTAGTTTAACGATAATTGTTTTCTCTCTTACTTTCACAGTAACTGTTTCCTTATTCTTTCTGCCAGGAAACATGTTTGAAAAACTCTTCTACAGAGCCTGAAGTATGGCTACAGCACAGCTCACATATTCTTCAGCAGATCCAGGAGCTCGGATGGGAAAAGTAATGTTGATAATAAACTTGTAAATCACAAACCTGTTATTTAACGAGATTAAAGTCTCAAAAAGACTGGAAAAGTTTTGGTCACTTTTCTCGCAGAGAGCAGTGTGACTAGTCATGAAATTATATGACATCACGGTGAATCCACAGTTTTGAAAACTATTTTTTGTGTCGTTCCAAATAATATTGAAACAAAATTTTAGGAGTCATAAAATCGTACCCACAATGTCTACACACTGCAGTTGCAGCCAGTACTAAAGTTGTGATACAGGTGTACTGGACAGTGTCCAAAGACATGTCAATTAAAGCCCATAAAATCTGGAAAAACGGCTTTCAAGGGGTGAGTGGGTTAACACGTAAGATTAAGGTCTATATATCACCTCTGTTTTGATAGGCTTCATACTTTTAACTATTTTTATTCTCTTATGGTTATTACAGTGTTTTTGTGATTCTTGGTATTTTCATTTTTTTACATTAACAATGTGGCAACCTTACACTTTAACACTCATATTCCCCCAAAACAAAAAATGCAGGGAAAACAAGAATAGACCCACTGCCTCCCCAAGTGGCTGGCCGAATGGTTAAGAGGGCAGGGCTGTTGTGCAGAAGTCCAGGTTCAAATCCTTGATGGGGGGGGGGGGGGGGGCAAAAAAATAAAATCTTAACCTGCACAGTCTTTGGTGACTGTAATAGCTAAGTTCCAAGCCTCAAGGACCCCCTTCCCTGTCTACACCACACAAGTGGTCAATAGCAGCAATAATGGCAGTACTTCTGTCTTGCTGTTAATGTGAGGGACTTCTGTCTTGCTGTTAATGTGAGGGACTTCTGTCTTGCTGTTTATGTGAGGGACTTCTGTCTTGCTGTTAATGTGAGGGACTTCTGTCTTGCTGTTTATGTGAGGGACTTCTGTCTTGCTGTTAATGTGAGGGACTTCTGTCTTGCTGTTTATGTGAGGGACTTCTGTCTTGCTGTTTATGTGAGGGACTTCTGTCTTGCTGTTAATGTGAGGGACTTCTGTCTTGCTGTTTATGTGAGGGACTTCTGTCTTGCTGTTTATGTGAGGGACTTCTGTCTTGCTGTTTATGTGAGGGACTTCTGTCTTGCTGTTAATGTGAGGGACTTCTGTCTTGCTGTTTATGTGAGGGACTTCTGCCTTGCTGTTTATGTGAGGGACTTCTGTCTTGCTGTTTATGTGAGGGACTTCTGTCTTGCTGTTTATGTGAGGGACTTCTGTCTTGCTGTTTATGTGAGGGACTTCTGTCTTGCTGTTTATGTGAGGGACTTCTGTCTTGCTGTTTATGTGAGGGACTTCTGTCTTGCTGTTTATGTGAGGGCTGACTTCAGTTAATTTTTTGTTTGTTTACCCCAGCATAAAAAACATTGGAGAGGGTTTCTCGTGTGTGGAGCTTGGTCTTCATGACACTGTCGGCAGATGGCACAGTATGAAGGTGATTTTCAACAAACAGGTGAGTACAAGCAGAAAACATCTCAATTATGTGAAAATGATGTATGCATGCATGTAGGATGTCAACAATCCCTGTTAGTGGTCATTGGCTGTTGGTTAACAGAAGTGATGTCATAACATTGAGGACATGCTCAGAAGTGCTTCTTCTCAATCAATGTGTTTGAATCCTGCCTATAGTTGCTGCCTATAGTTGTATGCCAGGTTTCAGAATCACATAGAACAATTGGTCTTATCAAGTGTTTAAATATTGGGATCTTGGTGAAATGAAATAGAGCATGTGAGTTTAGGCAATGTTGTAGGTCATTGTTTACATTATTTTCAAACTCTGCGGCGAAATGGTCAAGTTGTTTACCTCGCATTGTTCAGTTCAAATGTACAGATCTTACTCATTGCTAGAGCTACAGAGTTCGTACTTTGTGCAACATTTTTGGCAGGTGGCTAGCCATTCTGCAGAGAGAGACAGAGCTATGTAGGATAACCTGGTGCAGTGAAGTCGATCCTCTCGATTATAGCTTTAACTTTGTTCAAAACTATGTTCTAGATTGTATTAAAACTTCCAAATTAGGTGCAAATTCTTCTTATTCTTTGCATTCAGTTCTGTATGCTCAGGTCAGACCATGAGGTGGGTTGCCTCTGTGACTCGAATGTCAGCAGCAGGTACTGCATGGTTCCCCATAGCTTGCTCTACACACTTTGCTCTTGAGGCCAGGTTTCTTTTCGAAGTTGTAGGTAGAGTGGGCAGGTCTGCAGAATGTGCTGAGGTGTTTAGGGTCCTGTTTGACAGGCACACCTTGGGGACTGTGCAATCTTTATTTTATGCATGTGTTAGTTGAGCCTGCAGTGTCTTGTTCATAGATGGAAAATTGTTGTATGTTGCTTTCTGTTGAGTCTGCTGATGGGATCTTGTGGGTGTTAGGTGTAAATGATTGGTGGGTGCAGTGACATGCTGGAGCCTGCAGGTTCCCTTTTACCCACAAGTCCGGTCATTAAGATAATCTTCTTTCTCTGGACTTTTACAAACCTTTAACTAATCAAACACATGCACACCCCCCCCCCCTTTTCACCTACCTACCTACCTTTCTGCTTACTGACTGACCAGCTGACCTACTTACCAACTTCTCTTCTTCATTTGAATCAGTTTAAAATCTTATCATGGACAGATGTGAAACAATTTTGTTCCAGAATTCAACACAACCTCCACTGTGTGATACAAGCTTGCCAGAAAAGTTTGACTTTCATTGGTCTGAAAAGGTGAGTGAACCTTGGCTTGCATACATTCTGGTCTGGAAGTTGTGAGTTTGACTCCAAGTCTGGTGGTATATGTATTTGTCCATTTTTGTTTGTCATGTCTTAATGTCTCTACTTTGGCTTTTAATTTTCTACTCAAAGGTCATTTTAACTAAAGGATAAGAAATTCACTGGCAGCAATCTGGCACAAAACTCTAAACATGGTGGCAATCTGACACAAAGCTCCAAACATGGTGGCAATCTGACACAAAGCTCCAAACATGGTGGCAATCTGACACAAAGCTCCAAACATGGTGCCAATCTGACACAAAGCTCCAAACATGGTGACAATCTGACACAAAACTCCAAACATGGTGCCAATCTGACACAAAGCTCCAAACATGGTGACAATCTGGTGTCATTGCATCCATGTATATTTTGAAAGTTGGCTGCTGTCACTGTCTGAATGGCTAGCTACCTTACGAGGCGGATGTGATGAAGCCTGTCTGGGACAAAGTGGAGAGTGCAGCAGAACAGATTATCCATACCTGGTGAGATGGCACAGGAGGAAAGATAAGCAGACGTTATGTCAGTTTGCTACTATCAGTGTGAAAACTCTTTATTGGCTACCAAAGAAAGAGGTGGAGCATGCTAGAAACTGACAGTTTGTACAGTATGAAAGTGACCTGCAACTAACAAGTGAGTACAAGCAGAAAACATCTAAATTGTTTGAAAATTATGCATGCAAGAAACAGTCAGGACCAGTTAAAACAGAAAGGACCAACCACGAGAAAGAATGTATGCTTTAAGATCGCAAGACAGCGACAGGATTTCTCCATGATTATGACAGACGTCATCTCAGACTTCATTCACGCATTCAGAATCACCACTTTCTCCCTATATTGCTAACACAGAGTGAAGTGTCCCTACCAACTGCGTCCAAGAATTATTCCTGCACTAGATTACTAAGCTATTTTATTTAATTTAAGACAGAAGGAGACAATCTACATTCTTTAGTCATGTCATGAGAAGGAGAAAATGAGTACATCATAACTGTGGGAAAGTTGGAGGGGAAAAGAGGCAGAAAGGTAAAATACTGGACAGTTTGACATCATGGCATAGAACATCACCTGTGACAGAATTGATTGAAAGTACACAATAGAGAAAGTTATGGTTAAGACAATGACTACTAATGAAAAACTGCATGTAATATAAGAAGAAGAATGGAAGTGACTGCAGCCTAAAGAATAGCAAGAAGTATTAAATACAATGCAGGCTGAGACTAGAATGCTCAACAGAGGGAATGGATTGTATAATATAGCCTTTATATCATTTTTTTTTCTGTTATATATTTCTGGTTTCATGTTGTTCTTGGCTGTTTATTAGATATGTTGTCTTGTCCGCTGAGTCACAGTTTGTGTTGTATTTAGGTCTCTGTTGACGAAGACTTTGGTGGAAACATTCATTTGTATTTGTACATGTCTTTTCCATTCCGTCTGTTATGTTTTCTAGTTACAATTTATGTTGTATTTAGTTCTTCTAGATATTTTATTCACTGGCTTCACGGCTGACTTATTCGTGGGTGATATGTTTTGTGGATTATTCAAAAGCATTTGACTGTGTGCAACATCAGAAGCTTTGGGAAATCATGAGGAATATGGGCTTTCCATCACATATAGTGCAGCTCATTAAAATGCTCTATCAAGACCAACAAGCAGCAGTCAGAATAGATGGAGAGACATCAGACTGGTTTGGCATCAAGCAAGGAGTCCGTCAGGGATGTGTGCTGTCACCGTATTTGTTCAACCTGTACGCCGAAAATATAATGAGAAATGTAAGAGATGATATAAACAAGGAACAATATGATGCCCTAAACATCGGTGGTCATGAAATACCAGAAATTCGTTATGCTGATGATACAGTATTACTATCAACATCACAAAATGGTTTAGAAAACTTATTAACCTCACTCCAAAGAAATAGTGAAAATCATAACTTATTTCTTAACACAGCAAAAACAAAGATAATGCATACAAACAAAACTGCCATGGAGAAGGAAATATATGTTAATGAAGAAAGATTGGAAGTGGTGGAAAATTTCGAATATCTTGGGTCACTGGTTACCAACAATGGTGACACAATGAAAGAAATTAAACGGCGACTATCAATTGCTCTTCAAAGACTAAAACAACTGAATAAATTATGGAATTGTACAGATAGAATTACAAAGGTCAGATTTTTAAGAGCATGCATCTTTCCCATTGCAACATACGCCTGTGAGACCTGGACACTTACTAAACAAGCGGAACAGCGCATAAATGCATTTGAATATAAATGTTACAGACAGGTTCTAAGAATATCTTGGGTAAAGAAAAGAACAAATGCATCCATACTTCAAGAGCTGAATATTGAAGAGGGTTGGCTAGTAAAGACAATAAAACAAAGAAAATTGAAATATTTTGGTCACTTGAAACGTCATGGAGGTCTAGAGAGAACAATAATGGAGGGGTATATGCCTGGGAAGAGAGGAAGAGGAAGGCCAAGGAGAAGATGGGTGCAGGATGTGGCAGATGATCTCCAGATGGGTGTATCAGACGCAGGACATCTTGCTCATGATAGGAAGGTTTTCCGGAGGGTTGTTATGGCAGCGAGGTTCCGCGAGGGACATGCTACTGAATGAATGAATGATATGTTTTCGTACAGGCCACTCGTCAGCTTAGTCCCTTGTGTGATGAGTCATAAACTCTCACTCTGGCACTCAGCCCAAATTTGCATACAGAGTTGAGTATGAGTAAACCACACACACAAAAAGACGAAGAAGACGGTGGAAAGATAATATACAGACAGAAGTACAAACACTTGCAGTCACCAATTGAAATAAAAAGACCAAACACAGAAGTGAATGGAGGCAGAGGTATTTTCTGCAGCAATTAACCTCAAAAGTGTGGGATGCTAAAGAAGGAAAAGAAGAACATGTTTATATTATTTTGTATTGTTTTCTGTTACAGACGAGACTCAAGCATGTCTTCCAGCAGTTTGAGGCAGCTGTACAGTCACACCAGTTGTTCTGGAATATCATGAAAGAGATAGACAGCAGCTGCTGGGTTCTGGATCCTGAGCACCCCACGTTTGCTTCAACATATCGGAGAATAGCTTTAGGTCGGTGATAATCTAAACTAGATGTGACATGAATCTTCTTCTTCAAGCTTGTTAACTCCGGCAGAAAGTTCTGGTTGTTCGTCCACTTTTGGATTTTTTAGTCTTGTTAAAGAACATGAGTTTTCTGTGGACTTCTTTTACAGATCTAGATTATTTGCATGCAGACGGCCGGTTCTTTGCCTGTCAGGCAGATGAACTCTGACTTTGAAGGAAAGAGCACTAATTACCTGACTCTTACGACATGCCTATTAGAGGGCAGTGAGTCTGTTCTAGTTTTTTCCTGCAAAGAGACCCTAGAATGCACAAAGGGATGAAATATGAAAGTATGAGAAATTGTAATGTAAGGAGTGACTAACGGATACTTGGTAAATTGAGATATGAGTATCAAACAAATAACGGATACTTGGTGAATGGAGATGTAAGGAACAGATAATGAGTGCTTGGTAAATTGTGATGCACGGAATACATAATGGAGATTGGTAAATTGTGATGTAAGGAACAAATAATGGATGCTTGGTAAATTGAGATGTAAGGAACAAATAATGGATGTGTTTAGTGCTAGACCTATATTTTATTGATCAATCAGCATTCTGTGGGTGATGTAGGCAACATCACACAGGCCGAGTTTCCTCATTGCTGCAGAGTAACTCCATTGATTATCTGTTCTGCCTCTAATCCATAGACTTGATGTTTGTTACAGGTCCCAATATATCCCTTCAGATCACAGTCAACTGCCGGCAGCCAACAACTTTACCAGAGTGTCGTTTTCTGGGCTCGGAATCAGGTAGACACTGCTTTTTTTTTTTTTAATTTTTCTCTTTCTCTTTTTCTTTTTTTCCTGTGTCTTCATTCTTCTTCTTCTTTCGTTCGCATGAAATAAATTGTCTATATCTGCAAAGCTGTCTCTAGTATGAATTTCACTGTCTTTTGTAATTCACTAAGCGGCCCGTAAAGTTTGACTTCCACAAGTGTCTCTTTTGGCCAAAGGTTTTGCCTGAAAGCGTTGAATCTGGGACAGTCTTGAAGGATGTGATCTGTTGTTTCAGGTGCCAGTCCACAAGTACACATGGCTGATTGGCCAATCTTAAATTTGTTGTACATGTGGGAGCGAAGTCGATTGTGCCCTGTTCTAAGGCGAAGGATAATGACTTGCTCTGGTCTGTCCATAATATGGTAATCATCTTGTGCCAGTTTCGGTGGCATTCTGATTGATTTGATCATTCTCTTCTTCTGTTGATAAGAGACTGGTATGTCAGGTTGTTCTTCAGTTGCACCTTCCTTAGCTAGTTTATCAGCTTTTTCGTTTCCGGGAACTCCACAGTGGGAAGGTATCCACTGCATTACTAATTTACAGCGGTTGCCTAGTTCGGATAATAGTGTCTGTATGCTTGGTAATTTTCCAGACTGGAGTGACTGAAGTACTGCTTTTGCATCTGTCAGGAATACCACTGGTTGTGAAAAATACCCTATATTTAGTAGTTTCTCTACCGCTATCTTGATGGCTTGAACTTCTGCATCATAGTTGTGACAGTGCTTTCCCGTTGGTAATTTGGCTGTATCCCTGGTATTATTAGGATACTCAATGTACACTCCTGCACCTCCGTTTCTGACTGCGCTTTCTGCTGACCCATCTGTGTAAACACGGACCCAAAGGTTCTTCGGGTATTCATCATCAAGTAGACTGAGGGTGGCTGTTTTGCGCTGCACACTGTTTTGTTCTTCCTTGTCAAATACCCCTTTCACTTCAGTCTTGATGTGTATTGGAAACTTATACTCCTCTCTCCAGGGGGTCCGTTCTGGGACAGCATTTAAGGATCTATCAGTTGCAGGTAAATCAGTGGTTTGTCTGCCGAGCCGTTTGGCCTGGTGGATAAAACTACTTCTCTTTAGTCGTCCCAAAGCTAAATTTTTGAATCTTTCATTCATAGGGTGACTGGGCATACTAAGAAACTTTTCTGCTTGTAAAAGCATCTTGGTGTCTCTGCGTTCACTCAGTGCTTGGGTCATCCCCATTTTCTCCATCACAGCTATAGGTGTTGATTTCATACTGCCTGTGGTAACTCTGAGTGCTTGATTTTGCACTTTATCTAATTCTTGCAATGTGGTTTTTGATGCCGAACTCCATGCTGTTGATCCGTATTCAAGATGTGGTCGAACACTTTGTTGGTAAACTTTCCTAAGTATTTTCCCGCTAGCACCCCATGTGGTTCCACTTAGTTTTCTCAGAATGGCTACCCTTCTTCTGGCTTTGGTTGCTGCCTTGTTGATGTGTTTTCTCCATGTTAATCTATCATCAAACGTTACGCCGAGGTATGTGGGCTCCTTATCCTCTCTCAGGGGTACTCCATTTATGTGCATGACACCTGATTTTTGTTTAGGAGAAAAGGTAAAGAGGGTGGTGCTGCATTTGCCTATATTGATGCTGACACACCATTTGTCGGCCCAATCAGCCATTGCACCTATGGCTCTTTGTAGCAGTCTGGTGGCCACTGTCGCATTTTCATTTGTACACCGGAGTACCAAGTCATCAGCATACATTGCAGCTTTAATTCCATGTGGTAGTTCAGAAAGCAGGTCGTTGATATAGACTAGGAAGAGTGTGGGGGACAGGACACCTCCTTGTTGGACGCCATGGCGCAGCAAAACTTTCTTACTCTTAAGTCCATCTATCTGTACTCGGGATCTTCTGTTATACAAGTATGCTTTCACCCATTTGTACATACTCCCATTCACCCCGCAGTCTCTCAGTTTCTTCAGTAGACCTTCTTTCCAGACCTTGTCAAAGGCTTTCTTCAGATCTATCCATGCCGTTAGCACTAGCTTCTTTTCCTGGAAGGCATCCTCAATTTCTTGTGAAAGGTAAGTTGTCTGGTCTTCTGTGGAGTAGCACTGTCTAAATCCTGCCTGCTGCGGCGTGAAAATGTTTTCACTTTCCAAGTACCATTGGAGTCTAAGGTTGACAATACGTTCCATTGTTTTACAGAGGCAGCTGGTAAGACTGATCGGTCTATAGCTGGAGGCATCAGAACTGTCCTTTCCTGGTTTAAGCAGAGGTATTGTGATTGCTTCTCTCCATATTTGAGGAACTTTGCCACTGGTCCAACAATGATTAAAGATCTGTAGCAGCTTTTTTTTGGCAGTTGTTCCAAGGTTCTTGATCATTTCGTTGGTGATACCATCAGTTCCAGGTGATTTTCCCATTTTCAGCTTTGATATTGCTAATTCTAACTCGCTGGATGTAAATGCTGCCACCAGTGCCTCAGGAATTATATCTTTTTGTCTTGTATGTTGTTTGTTTTCTTGAACCTCTCGCTGTTTCTCTGGGCTGACACTAATGTTGCTGTCTTCTGCAAAATAATCTGCAAAGTGGTCAGCTGCCTGTTTTCTTGTTAGGATGGCTCCCTCTTTGCATAGTGCAATATTACCATTTCTTCCTGTATTCTCATCATTAATTTGCTTAATTAACCTCCACAGCTTCCTTGTGTCTCTTTCAAAGTTTAGAGACTTTGTCTTTTCCTGCCAGCTTCTCCGTCTAGCCTGCAGTTTGGCTCTTTGAAATTTGGCCTTTGAATGTTGGTAGTTGTTAAACTGCTCTTGACAAGTTCTGGTCTCAGCTTGTTTTCTTTCTGTTTCCATATTGTTGTGCAGTTGCTCCAGATCGCAATTCCAGTACGGTTTGTATTGTTAACGCGCACCTCTTGGAACTGCTTCTAGGGCTGCCTGCAGTATGTGTTTGCTCAACTCTTGGACTACTTTGTCTACGTCGTTATCTGTGTTCAGATTTTCCAGCAGAATATTTGTGCGAAGCTGATATAACTTCCAGTCTGCCTTCTTAAAATTCCACCTTGGCAGTGTGCTGCTCTCTCTTACAGACTGGCTTTCGATAGTTAGAAAGACTGGCCGGTGGTCGCTGCCTCCTAGTTGCTTCCCAACAGTTCTGGTAACATTCAGTTCCATGTCTGCTGAGTGAAAGGCTAGGTCTGGTGTCGAGGGGGTATGCCATGCTCTAGAGTAGAAGGTTGGTGGGTCGGTTGGCTTATTAACGAGGATGAACCTATTCTCATCCTGCCAGTCCTCTAGTTTCTCTCCTCTCTGGTCCATATGATCGTAGCCCCAACTTTGGGAATGGCTATTAAAATCCCCACAAATTATCATATTTTCATTTATTAGTACTGTATCCAGTGCCTGAGGGCGGTCGCTCGGACAGTAATAGTTGGTCAGATGTAAATCTGTATTTTCTAACTTGAGCTCAAGAGTTTGATACTCAGCACCTTCCATGTATGTTTCGATCCGGCCCGCAAGGATGTTATTTTTTACCAAGGTAAGAATTCCACCTTTTCTCCTGTCTTTGCGGTCAGATCGGAAACACTGATAGCCTCTGATCTTAAAGGCCATATCTTGTTTGAGATACGTCTCTTGTAGGCAGCATACATGTATATTCTTTTCGTTCAAGACGTTTTCTAATTCTAATTTCTTAGTATTTACTCCCTCCGCGTTCCAGTGCATTATTTTAAGGCTAGCTGTATTTTCTGCTTTTCTGGTTCTACGGGGCATTAGGGGAAGGCTTCGAGTATTTGAAGCTGGACTCTTTCTTCTTGTCGTAGGCCGGTAAATCGAACCACGTGTACGTGAGTGGGTCACATGGTGGAAATCAAACTTATTTGCAGATATAGAAATATTCCCTGTTGCGTTTGTGCGTGGCATCCTGATTGCTGTGGTGCGCCTCCTGGCTGGTTGCCTCCGACTTCAGCACCTTGTTTTGCTAGAGTAGACTGGGGTCTTACCCGTGGACTCCCATGTTTATAATGGGAGCGTGGCTCCTACGCGGTTACATTATCGGAATTAGGACACGGCCGCCGCCGTGGCTATTGTGTGGAAATAATTCCGTTATAACACCCCTAAACCACATAATACTTGTATCCACAAACAAGAGAATATCCATCGTCAATGAATTAGTAATAATCGCACTCTGTTATCAAGAGAAAAACACCGATTAAGTGAAAATTTTAGAATAAAATCGTGTCGCCGCAAACACGTCTTCACGCTGCCATTTCTAAACCGGAAGTCCCTATGTCTTCAGATATCAGCCTGCTTATATTTTAAAAAAAAGTTAATGTGAGCTTTTACATGTCTTTGAATATGGTTTACTTTGTGCTCCGTTGTACACTCAGTACACCCAGATTTGGCGGCAGTGTTTTTCAGACTTGTATGTCATAAAAGATTACTAATAAGGAATTAGCTGAAATCAGATGTGTTGAGCCAAGAGGTGCATATATCACAGCCTAGCTGTAAACTAAAGCCTTTTTAAGGTTTAACAAAGAAGAAAAAGAGGCAGATATAAAAGTAAAGTAAAGTAAATATCCCTTTTCATGCCTTTCGGGCATATGGGAAAAGCACCCATATTTTTACAGACCAATCGACATTAGGTGGGTAATGTGTTCAGTATTACGCCGGCCATCTTTTCTTCCCCAGGACACACATCCTGGTACCCATTTTAGGCTGAGTCAACATGCGACGCCCCGTACCATGATTAAAATCCACACAGCCAGCAGTAAGAAGATGATTTGGCAATTTAACAATAAAATAAAAATTCTTTTTCTGACTTCAGGCAAAATATATTTTATTTGTATGTTTTTAATCTTGCAAAAGTAACAGTTGTTTTCATTGTGGCAGTTCTTGTTCAAATCTTTGAAAGACATCTTCCATCTAAAGTTATGACTCAGACTAGATAGTTGAAACAATTTTCCAAATGAGATTTCACTTATTTACTTGCATGCCTTCCCTCTGTGGGTTCTTGGGCACCGATTGGGTGGGAGGGGGGAGGGGCAGGGGATTGTCGCAGTTAGGGAGATTTCCTTTAAAGTTGGGGTGCATCTGCCTGAGAGGTGAAGAACCAACAATCTGCATGCAAATAAGTCAGACATGTAAAATGCATATGCATGCAAAGCTTAAGTTATAGAACAAAACCAAAGACCAGAAGGGGATGAACAACCAGAACTAATGCTGGACTTTTACAGCCGGTGAATGTGAAGAAGGAGAACTTGCATGTTGCATTGAGGCATTTCTTTCTATGTACATTAGTTTTTAGACAGCTAGTAGATAATGAATGTTTAAGTGCATATGCTAAAACTGTATAAAGTTATTGTTTGTCTTGAAATAATAATGTGTATGTTTTAGTTTGTTTTGAGTTTGTCTGCTGGTTTAGAAAATATAATATGTAGATTCTAATTCTGTAGCCATTGTCTTATCTGCCATAACATTGTCTGTCTACAGTTATTGCAGAACTGAGAGAAAAGCTAAATGTGAACCTTCACAGATGGTGAGAACTTTTGCAGATGTGACCAATTGTTTCTTATAGAAAAGCTAATGAGCTCACAAATGTATTTCTGGACCTGGCCAGTGTAGACGTATTTTCTATTGAAGTTTAACTAGGCATATGTCAACGTACACTTGTCCCTTCCTTCAAGTGTTTGACTGACTGACTTTCTACCCCACCACGACATCACACAAGCGATAAACACCCAATGACACAATGTGCCACCATGCGGGTGAGGATCACCGTGGAGAGGTCCCAGAAACCACGTTCAGCCTTTAAGCCATATTTATGGCCAGGCTATATTGCGGACCCTGGCAAAGCCAAAGTAGGGCTTCAAATAATGAAAAATTTCATCCTAAAAAGGGCGAGAAGTATTGGTTATCATTCTACAGTGTTTTTTCATTATTGGGAGGTGGCAAGTTTCAATCTCTATAGATCTGAAGCTTTAAAATTTTTAACACCATATAGCCAATACGGGACAGAGTAAAAATGGGTACTGGACTCACTACAAATTGTTATTAATTTATCTGCATTATCAAACATGTGTTAATTTAAATAACAGTATCTGGAATGGATCGACCTAAAGTTTTAGAGCAACAGTTGTTTTGTAACCCTTTCATCCCGGTGACCCAAGTATTTTTTTTGTGTGGGTAACATGTCACACCAAAAATGACACAAAATCAGTTTATCATTCGAAACACAAACAAGTACTAGACAGAGTACTGGGAGTAATCAGTAACAATGAATGCTGCAGAGAATAAACTGACTTATATCTCTTGGGGCCTGTAAACTTATTATAGTGTGACACTTACTTGACCCTTTGACCTGAAACCAGTGGGGAAAAGATTTCCTATAAATTTTTGTAAATAAAAACTTTTTTGTTTGTGTTTTTGAGAAGGTAATCTCCCTAAATGCTTTGTTAATTAATCATCCCCTGTCTTGTGAATGTATGCTCAGATGTAGATGCAATGAATTGTTAGCTAGACGTCTCATAAACATGTCTCTTTAGCGAGTTGGGAAAATAGCTTTTAAGGGAAAATAGCTTTTAAGGGAAAATAGCTTTTAAGGGAAAATAGCTTTTAAGGGGAAGTAGCTTTTAAGGGGAAGTAGCTTTTAAGGGAAAATAGCAGCAACTGGTAGCATCGGTTTTATAGTTTCTTGGGATGAGATGGTTACATTTCACATGGATAATGTTTCCTTGCAGAAATATGATTATTGATCCTCACTGCCTTCCATAGCTATGTGTGTTTTTCACTTAATCATAGGGACATAGACAGGTCTCTGCTGAACAATCTACAGGAGGTTCTGGACATGGATTTCCCTTCGCCGACAGATACCAGAAAAGAGGTACTGTATGGGATCTTATGTGTCAGTTGTGTCCTTAACTTGAATGAGTTTATTTTATTTAAAGGTGGGATGTAGAGATGCTGAACCACACATAATGATGTACCAGGGTGGTGTTCATACTGGTCAAGGGATATAGAGATGCTAAACCACACATGGTGTTGTACCAGGGCTCATACTGGTCAAGGGATGTAGAGATGCTGAACCACACATAATGATGTACTGGGGCGGTGTTCATACTGGTCAAGGGATGTAGAGATACTGAACCACAAATAATGGTGTACTGGGGTGGTGTTCATACTGGTCAAGGGATGTAGAGATTCTAAACCACACATGGTGTTGTACCAGGGCTCATACTGGTCAAGGGATGTAGAGATACTGAAACATCCGTGGTGATGTGCCGGGTCTCATACTGGTCAAGGGATGTAGAGATGCTGAAACATCCGTGGTGATGTGCCGGGTTTCATGCTGGTCAAGGGATGTAGAGATGCTGAAACATCCGTGGTGATGTGCCGGGTCTCATACTGGTCAAGGGATGTAGAGATGCTGAAACATCCGTGGTGATGTGCCGGGTTTCATACTGGTCAAGGGATGTAGAGATGCTGAAACATACGTGGTGATGTGCCAGGTCTCATGCTGGTCAAGGGTTGTAGAGATGCTGAAACATCCGTGGTGATGTGCCGGGTCTCATACTGGTCAAGGGATGAAGAGATACTGAAACATACGTGGTGATGTGCCCGGTCTCGTACTGGTCAAGGGATGTAGAGATACTGAAACATACGTGGTGATGTGCCGGGGCTCATACTGGTCAAGGGGTGTAGACATGCTAAAACATACGTGGTGATGTGCCGGGTCTCATGCTGGTCAAAGGATGTAAAGATGCTGAAACATATGTGGTGATGTGCCGGGTCTCATACTGGTCAAAGGATGTAAAGATGCTGAAACATATGTAGTGATGTGCCGGGTTTCATACTGGTCAAAGGATGTAAAGATGCTGAATCATACGTGATTATGTGCCTGGTCTCATACTGGTCAAAGGATGTAAAGATGCTAAAACATATGTAGTGATGTGCCGGGTCTCATACTGGTCAAAGGATGTAAAGATGCTGAAACATATGTAGTGATGTGCCGGATCTAATACTGGTCAAAGGATGTAAAGATGCTGAATCATACGTGATTATGTGCCGGGTCTCATACTGGTCAAAGGATGTAAAGATGCTAAAACATATGTGGTGATGTGCCGGGTCTCATACTGGTCAAAGGATGTAAAGATGCTGAAACATATGTGGTGATGTGCCGGGTCTAATACTGGTCAAAGGATGTAAAGATGCTGAAACATATGTGATGATGTGCCGGGTCTCATACTGGTCAAAGGATGTAAAGATGCTGAACCATACATGGTGTTGTACCAGGGCTCATACTGGTCAAGAACTATCTACATCTCTCTGCTGCCATCCTAGAAACAGGTTCCCTACCTGTGTCTGGCCAGCATATATAGATATGATGTTTCTGTGGAGTCAGAGTGCCCAGAACTGGACAAACATTCAAGATTTTCCGCTGGTAAACATGAAGAAGAAGCAGTATATGAAGATCAGTCTGATCCTGCTGGCAGCATGGTTTGTGCTGTTGCTGGTAAAGATATTAGTTTGAATTTGAGTTACAGCAGACGCAGAATTGTCTTTTGTGACCAGTAGGTCTCTGGAGTTAACCAAGCCTCTGAGCAATAGGTGCCGGAGTTTTCAGAATTTTTATTTTTATTTTCTAGCATAGAGGAATGAAAAGAAAAGGAACCAGTTAGCCTATTTCATATGTTATGGCTTTGTATATATGAAGGTCTTCACAGCTTCTGAAAGTGAGGTGACCAGCCTGCAGGTGTGACTTATTTCCCCGTATAGGTGCTACTGTCTGTGACAAGTGGCTCTTTGGACCCTACATAGGTTGCCTTAATAAGTCAGATGAGAGCTGGTTCGCCTGAGCAATTTGATGCCTGCCACTAACTCAGAAAGTATAAACTGTGAATCTAGTAATGAACGTTTTTCAGAGGGACTTTATAATGTCACATGTTTCACTTAGACATCTAGCCTTTTCAATTCTCAAATAAGACCAAAATGCTCCCCCAAAAAATTATCTGAAAGATGAAAATCATAAACAGTAAACCATAATGGTGTTAGCCCTAGTTAAGAATTCAGACCTTTACAGCATGCCGGGATGCTGGGTTCGATCCCATCTACAGGCCCTGCGCCTTGCGATGGTTTCCACAGTGGTATTGAGAAGCTGACAGTGCAGAAAGCAATGGCAAACTACTGGACGTAAATTTGCCTACAAAAACCACAACAGCCAAAAAATGCTGGGGTTGGTTCTGCAAAGGATGCACAGCTTGCTTTAACATATAGAGTCGTATGCCTAGAGAGATCAGGACTCTGCCAGGTTTTTATGCTGCATACAACTAACTTTGCGGACCAGTTTGCATTCATTTTGACTATTGTATGGAACTCCAACTGTTCAGAAACAATGGCAAACTACTAAATGTAGAACTTACCTAGTAAACTACAAACGGCCAATGAATGCAACTGACAAAAAAACTTAGCAGGAAAATTAATAGAAGAATGGAGACAACCAGTGAATTTTTGATAACTCTTTTTGTTAAAGTCTGTTGCTTTGTTAAAGTCTGTTGTTTCATTCAAGTCTGTTGCTTTATTAAAGTCTGTCGCTTCATTAAAGTCTGTTGCTTTATTAAAGTCTGTCATTTCATTAAAGTCTGTTGCTTTATTAAAGTCTGTCGCTTCATTAAAGTCTGTTGCTTTATTAAAGTCTGTCGCTTCATTAAAGTCTGTTGCTTTATTAAAGTCTGTCGCTTCATTAAAGTCTGTTGCTTTATTAAAGTCTGTCGCTTCATTAAAGTCTGTTGCTTTATTAAAGTCTGTCGCTTCATTAAAGTCTGTTGCTTTATTAAAGTCTGTCGCTTCATTAAAGTCTGTTGCTCTGTTAAAGTCTGTTGTTTCATTAAAGTTTGTTGCTTTGTTAAAGTCTGTTGTTTTGTTAAAGTCTGTTGTTAATATAGGCCTCATTATAACTTGAACCTGTTGCCAGGAACTAACTGTTGACTGTGGAATTTGCTATTGCCATTGCTTGAGTGACCAAGTCCCAGAGGTTGTATGTGAGGACAGGCGTTGTGCTCAGGCTTTCCACAGATCTTGTTTATATGAGGTAAATTATCTAAGTATATGGTAGTCACTAGTCGAGACTACATATTATTAGTTTCAGATATCGGTTAGCAGCTGGTCCAAAAGGGAAGCTCTGACCAATAGAACGACAGCACTGGTCTTCTGATTCAGCAGCTTCTACTGCAAGCTTTTCTGAACATATTGGTAACACCTTTCCTTTGGAGCTAACAAGGCAGGCCGAGAGAGGGATCATGCTGCATGGGTAACACATGATATCTGCAATAGCCTTCAAGCTGTGGACAGTAGAAACTCAACACCTAGTTTAATTGGTATCGCCGTGGGGTGTGATTCTTATGCCACCTTACAGCACAGAGGAACACTTTCTGGGAAGATTGTAAAGGGCCACAACAAGGATGCATCAGTTTTGTTTAGTACATATAAGGCTGACAGTGTTATTAGTGCTTGTGTACCATAAGCAGAGGTTGGGACTCAAGTTACATAACTTCAACTAAAGTCAAACTTAAGTCGCATAATTAATGACTTACAACTCGACTTGGGGTTTTGTACTGCGACATGCGACTTATAGCTTTGACAACTTGGTACAACTTGTTCTTCGCGGCTGGGTATTGTGAGGTAGATTTGATGATCAGCATCACAATTTCAAATGTCTTCATATAATTAGCACATAGTAAATTATGTGTCAATTTATCAAGCTTTCACATCCAACTTCTGCTATTTATGTATAGTTCAGTTTTTTGCACTCCCACTTCCAGTTTTGTATTTTCGCCATTTTTGATTGATCCTTATCTTTATTCTAGTAAATTTAAATAAATTTGCTTGACTTGCGAACGACTTGATACTTGAAGTGTCTTGTCAGGACTCGACTTGGAATCATTCTTAGAGATTTGAGACTTAAACTTGGTGGCTGTGGCTTGGAAGTTGACTTGGACTTGGTGGCTGTGGCTTGGAAGTTGACTTGGACTTGGTGGCTGTGGCTTGGAAGTTGACTTGGACTTAAAGGGCGACGACTTAGTCCAACCACTGACAATAGGTGACAACAAAATAAGAAGCTATTAGTGATGTTCAGTAGATATAAGGCTGATAGGTCTATTAGTGCCAGGTATTTACATAATAATTGTTTTTTAAAAAAATATCGATCCATAAACCATGAATTGTAAACCCTTTGGCTCGGTACTATGGAAACCGCAACCCTTCTGCTTTGATTCCGTAATAGATACCAAATATCTGGGAAATATTTGGCTTTTCTGCCTACCCCCGAGCGTGAACTCAGACCACAAGGAGTTTGTCACCCGGTTGTTTAACCAACTTAGCAAATGCGCCAGGTAAAGCCATTTATTAAATTGCACTTCATGTAGTGACCCATCTGGCTGATGGAACTAGGGAAGCGAGGTGAATTTCACCTGTCTGTAAACTAGGTTAAGGGAACCTGGCTAGAGGCGATTCCTTGCCCAGCCGACAGATGTTTGACAAATATGTGTGTTGTGTGAAAGGAAGAGGAAGTAGGGACATGTGAGTAGATGGAGCATCTGGTGGCAAGAATGCATGTGACCCGAATTCTCATCTTGTTAGTGTGTTGATAGATCCTTTTGTCTGTTATCTTCCATCAGTGGTTGAGGAACTTATCCTGCAAGCAGAGTTTCAACACCTTGTTTGGCGAATGCCCTCTGTGCAGCCATGTATGTATTCTGTTGACGATATTTATGCAAATTATTCATGTTTTTTGTTTGTTCAGTTTTTGTGCTTATTTTTGTCTCATTAATTGTGATGGAAATTCAGCAATTAATTCAAGATAATGCTCGCTCAGAGGATTTGATCATTTACACAGACGGTTCAGTGTCAAGAGGCAAAAGAAGTGCTTAGGGTTTCTTAGCAAAAGTTAATGGTCGACATTTGTTGCAGGAGAGCCTAGCATATGATTCCACAACGTCCAGCTTAAGAATGGAGGTGGACGTTATCACTGCAGCTTTCCCCTGGCTAGAGAACACAACACCCACACACACTCACCGTGATTGACTCAGCATGCTGAGGAAGATCAGGACAGGCATGCTTCGTGCAGAGTGGCATGCCTTGCTGCGGAGGACACGGGTGAGGAGTATTGTCTAGATTTTATCACCGGGGCACACCATTGTGTTAGGAAATGAACACGCAGACAGACTGACTGGCTCTGCACAACTTGGTGGAATACTGATACATGATGAGGCAGATGTGGTTAGTGCCTTGTGGGAGAGTGTATACAGTTTGTAGGAGCAGATGGATCACCACAGTCTGGTGAGATTGATGCAGGGGGGAGTGATGAAAAGTTCTGGCAAATGCTCGAGGCTCAGAGGAAAGGCAAGAACGCTGCTGGCACCATTATCAGAACTCTTCGCTGGCTGCTGAAGATGAGGACGGAGCACTTTTGGGAATGCCCCAAGTGCTGTGATGTCAGTTCTTGAATCAAATCAATCAGTCAATCATTAATTGTGATTTAAGTATTGTGAACATCCCTACGTGTATGAAAACTTGCTGACAACAAGTAAAGTTGATAGAATAAGAGCAGGGGGTGGGGAGGCAACGGGATGAATACCTGGATGGCCCCCATGTGGGTTCCTGGGTCTCATTATGGGGAAAACAAGAATAGATCCACTGCCTCTCCAACAAGCATGTCATAAGAGTTGACTAACTTGAAGTTATAGTGCATCTGCCTGAGAGGCAAGGAACCAACAATCTGCATACAAATAAGTCTGATCTATAAAAAGTGTGTGCACGCAACACTCAGACAAAAGTCCAGAGGTGGACAAAGAATTTTCTGTCAGAGTTTACGGAGAATGCGAAGAAGAAGAAGAAGAATACCTGAATGGCCTGACCACATGGATGAGGTGGGACAAGAACACTGGTCTGATCCGTGATTTTGGCGAACCATGACTGCCTGTGCTTATCAGCAGGGCACATGGTAATGAAAATAAAATGTCATTCCAAAATAAAAAATACAACTGTTCAGCTTTGCAGTTTAGGCCAGTAAGTGACCCAGAGGGATGGGCTAGGTGGCGGGGTGAGAGATGGGCTAGGTGGCGGGATGAGAGATGGGCTAGCTGGCGGGGTGAGAGATGGGCTAGGTGGCGGGGTGAGAGATGGGCTAGGTGGCGAGGTGAGAGATGGGCTAGGTGGCGAGGTGAGAGATGGGCTAGGTGGCGGGGTGAGAGATGGGCTAGGTGGCGGGGTGAGAGAGGGACTAGGTGGCGAGGTGAGAGAGGGACTAGGTGGCGAGGTGAGAGATGGACTAGGTGGCGGGGTGAGAGATGGGCTAGGTGGCGGGATGAGAGATGGGCTAGGTGGCGGGGTGAGAGAGGGACTAGGTGGTGGGGTGAGAGAGGGGCTAGGTGGCGGGATGAGAGAGGGGCTAGCTGGTGGGGTGAGAGATGGGCTAGCTGGCGGGGTGAGAGATGGGCTAGGTGGCGGGGTGAGAGATGGGCTAGGTGGCGAGGTGAGAGAGGGGCTAGGTGGCGGGGTGAGAGAGGGGCTAGGTGGCGGGGTGAGAGATGGGCTAGGTGGTGGGGTGAGAGATGGGCTAGGTGGTGGGGTGAGAGATGAGCTAGGTGGTGGGGTGAGAGATGGGCTAGGTGGTGGGGTGAGAGATGGGCTAGGTGGTGGGGTGAGAGATGAGCTAGGTGGCGGGGTGAGAGATGGGCTAGGTGGCGGGGTGAGAGATGGGCTAGGTAGTGGGATGAGAGATGGGCTAGGTGGTGGGGTGAGAGATGGGCTAGGTGGCGGGTGAGAGATGGGCTAGGTGGTGGGGTGAGAGATGGGCTAGGTGGCGGGGTGAGAGATGGGCTAGGTGGCGGGTGAGAGATTGTGTTTATGTGAAACTGTATTGGACATTAACTCTTTGAGTCCCAGGGGTTTAGCATCAGAGGCCCAAGGGGCGGTAATGCAATTTGTAAATTTCACAAGTGTAATACATTATAACAGAATTCAGACCAGTGATTGTTGAGGAATAATGTTCGAATACTGGGGGTCATAGGGTAGCTAATTAGGGGTATTTCCTTCCAAACTTTTGCAACCAGATAAGCCAGATCTGCAAGATCTGGAACAAGAGCAGGGTCCAGAAGTACACAAAGAACCAGAACTTTCCACCGGAGTTTACAGCCAGTGAACGCCAAGAAGAACACTTGACCACTGGACTTTTGCAGCTCCCAGCAGCTGACCAGGCTACTCATGTGGGTTCCTGACCTCATTTTTGGGGAAAAGGGGATAGACCACTACCCCTTGACAAGCATGTCTTATGAGGCTAATAATTAGATATTGTCTGAGATGTTTGGCTGAAAAGTACACATATCACAGCCTAGCTGTAACTGCGACACAGGTTGCCAACCACAGAAGAATAGTCATATGAAAATGTGGTGGTTCATAAATGTTCCTTGATTAAGTCTACCTCAATTAATGATGATAAACAGCAAGTTTATAATGTAGTTTGAAATATTAATCTACTTATTCTTGTTGGAAATTAGCCCATCAGAGTCAAGATACCAGCAGGCTAGGTGCAGATGAAACGAGATGAAACAAGACAGGCCAGGAACTGCCTTTGTTTCCCCAAATACCAGCATCAAGAGGCACATAATTTCATGTGACTACAACCCTGCTATAAAGATGCACCTGTTATTTTTTTTTAAAGGATATCAATATTCTCCAACTGCATGGTAGGAATAAGGTTTTCTCATTTCGTTAGAACGGTATACAGCAAATTTGGCTAGCAGGTCACGCTTGTAGATTTGCATAAGCATTCCCCCACTCTTATCTGAGAAGTTTACTTAGGATACATTGATGGAACTTAGGATTCATGATGGATAGGAAATAAATTAAGGTTTTTTAAAAGTTGTTTTCAAGCCAATGGCAAACCTCAGTCCTCATTGAAATCTAGAAATGTCATAAGTTTGCCAGAATAAACATGATCAAACAACAGTGATTGTATTCATATTCTTTATTGTTCATTGACTTCTCCAGTATCAGAATCACAGTACATTCAGTGACTACCGCATACATGGTAGACACACAGAGAGACCTGTGTTGCAGTAATCCATTGTTACTGTAACTCTTCTGTTCCAGAGTTGTATAAATGCAACACTATAAAAAGTCAAGGACCTTTCTCCACCCCTCCAGGCGTATTGGGCATAAAGTGCTAGACCTGTATTTTATAGACCAGTCAACACTGTGGGTGATGTGGTCAACCTCATGCCTGCCGCCTTGACTTCCCAGGACTTTACCTGGTACCCATTTAAGGCTGATGGGAGCCAAGGTCATTTTTGACAAGAGAACAAGTCAGGCTCTGTTAGGACCTGAACCCATGATCTTTGGATCCAAGTGTCTAGCTGCTACACCATGGCAGCTCCCTTGGGCATATTGTACTAGACCTACATTTTTTATTGAACAATCAGCACACTCGATGGGTGATGTAGTCAACATCATGTTGGCCGCCTTTACCTCCTAGACCCCATTTCAGGCAGGGTCAGCCGGGAGCCCAGGTAAATCTGGGAGGGAGAAAATCAAGCTACGATGCAGTGTGAACCCTAGATGTTCAGGCCAGCAGCATCTAGCGTCTGCTAAGACTCCCCCAGTTGTTACTGTAAACCACACACACACACACTGTGGGGCAGAAACTGATTTAGTAAGTTCAGCCAGACAAGCACTGCAGACAAACTGGTAATTTCATGGTTCATGGCACTGTTTCAGGACTAGCAGGCTGGTAGGTTCGTTTATATGGCACTGTTTCAAGACTAGCAGGCTGGTAGGTTTATATGGCACTGTTTCAAGACTAGCAGGCTGGTAGGTTTGTTTATATGGCACTGTTTCAATACTAGTAGGCTGGTAGGTTTGTTTATATGGCACTGTTTCAAGACTAGCAGGTTGGTAGGTTTGTTTATATGGCACTGTTTCAAGACTAGCAGACTGGTAGGTTTGTTTATATGGCACTGTTTCAAGACTAGTAGGTTTGTTTATATGGCACTGTTTCAATACTAGCAGGTTGGTAGGTTTGTTATATGGCACTGTTTCAATACTAGTAGGTTGGTAGGTTTGTTTATATAGCACTGTTTCAATACTAGTAGGTTGGTAGGTTTGTTTATATGGCACTGTTTCAATACTAGTAGGTTGGTAGGTTTGTTATATGGCACTGTTTCAATACTAGTGGGCTGGTAGGTTTGATTATATGGCACTGTTTCAAGACTAGCGGGCTGGTAGGTTTGTTTATATGGCACTGTTTCAAGACTAGCGGGCTGGTAGGTTTGATTATGTGGCATTGTTTTGATACTAGCAGGCTCGTAGGTTTGTTTATATGGCATCGTTTTGATACTAGCAGGCTTGTAGGTTTGTTTATATGGCATCGTTTTGATACTAGCAGGCTTGTAGATTTTTTGGTGTAGCACTGTTTCAATACTAGCAGGCTTGTAGGTTTTTTGGTGTAGCACTGTTTCAATACTAGCAGGCTTGTAGGTTTGTTTATATGGCATTGTTTTGATACTAGCAGGCTGGTAGGTTTAAATAGCACTGTTTCAATACTAGCAGGCTGGTAGGTTTATATAGCACTGTTTCAATACTAGCAGGCTGGTAGGTTTATATAGCACTGTTTCAATACTAGTAGGCTGGTAGGTTCATATAGCACTGTTTCAATACTAGCAGGCTGGTAGGTTCATATAGCACTGTTTCAATACTAGCAGGCTGGTAGGTTCGTTTTTATGCATTGGTTCAAAACTAGCAGGCTGGTAGGTTTATATAGCACTGTTTCAATACTAGCAGGCTGGTAGGTTTATATAGCACTGTTTCAATACTAGCAGGCTGGTAGGTTTATATAGCACTGTTTCAATACTAGCAGGCTGGTAGGTTCATATAGCACTGTTTCAATACTAGCAGGCTAGTAGTTTATATAGCACTGTTTCAATACTAGCAGGCTGGTAGGTTCATATAGCACTGTTTCAATACTAGCAGACTGGTAGGTTTGTTTTTATGCATTGGTTCAATACTAGCAGGCTGGTAGGTTTATATAGCACTGTTTCAATACTAGCAGGCTGGTAGGTTTATATAGCACTGTTTCAATACTAGCAGGCTGGTAGGTTTATATAGCACTGTTTCAATACTAGCAGGCTGGTAGGTTCATATAGCACTGTTTCAATACTAGCAGGTTCATATAGCACTGTTTCAATACAGACTATCTCATGTAAAGTTCAGCCTTGCAGGTAATCAATAATGTGTATGTGTTGCTCCCCTTCTCTCACACACATTCACATTCCATTCAGACTTGTTAGAAATGTATAATGTGAATGTAATAAGTGAATGGTCACCAGCTTGCTATCCGCTACACCATGTAGCAGTCATGGGAGTCAAGTCGGCATGTATCAGTCTATGACTACTGTTTGCTACAGCATTACCTGTGATAGGTGAGATTGGCAAAGAGGAAACGTCAACCACCGTTCATACTTATGCATTTGATATGATATTTAGTCGTCATGCAAGGATAATTTAGCAGGTTCGGCTAAGAAATGTGTGCAATTTCAAAAGGGTACTTGTACAGAATGACCACAATGCTAATTCCATCTAGGAGACCACACTGTCAGCGTCCCCAAGACCAGATCCTCCCAGAAACTCCTGGGTACTCACACCCATCCCTGCTTCAATACTGCTCATATGACAAATATGAATACAAAAACAAAAAGCTGCCTGGCATGTGTTCTCCTCACATGCATTATTGTGTACAATCATCAAATTCACAAACATGGCCACACAGCTGCTATGTTCTACAGGGGTGGGGGATTATTGTAGGAACCCCAGAGATCTCTTAGATGAATCAAAGGCACCCAGCAGACAAGAAGCAGATGTTAAAGGACACAAACATGTGAGGTAGCAGCTGGAAACTCCCTGCTATGTTGTGTGTCCTTTCATATCCACTGACTGCCTAGAGCCTTCTTCCATGGCTGTGGCTGGAATTAATTATCTATCTAATATTTCATCACTTATTGATATTGTGCTGCTGTTCTCATAAACAAAATGAATCAGAACTTTATATAACATTGTTCAGAGTTATGTTAGCTTATCAAACATTCAGTCATAAATGGTACAGCTCTTATATATTCAGTCATGAATGGAACAGCCCATAAATATTCTTCTTCTTCTTTGCGTTCACCAGCTGTAAACTCTGGCGGAAAGTTCTGGTTGTTCATCCACTTCTGGACTGCAGTCCTGTTCCAGAACCTGAGTGTTGCATGCGCATTCATTTTGCAGACCTGGCTCATCTGTATGCAGACTGCTGGTTCCTTGCCTCTCAGGCAGATGCACTCCGACTTCGAAAGAAGCTCCCAATTAGTGGAACGACCCATAAACATTCTGTCATGAATGGAACAGCTCTTATACATTCAGTCATGAATGTGATAGCAATCACTCCTATACAGTCATGAATGTAATAGCAATCACTCCTATAATGTCATGAATGTAATAGCAATCACCCCTATACAGTCATGAATGTAATAGCAATAACTCCTATACAGTCATAAATGTAATAGCAATCACCTATACAGTCATGAATGTAATAGCAATCACTCCTATACAGTCATGAATGTAATAGCAATCACTCCTATACAGTCATGAATGTAATAGCAATCACTCCTATAGTCATGCATGTAATAGCAATCACTCCTATACAGTCATGAATGTAATAGCAATCACTCCTATACAGTCATGAATGTAATAGCAATCACTCCTATACAGTCATGAATGTAATAGCAATCACTCCTATACAGTCATGAATGTAATAGCAATCACTCCTATACAGTCATGAATGTAATAGCAATCACTCCTATACAGTCATGAATGTAATAGCAATCACTCCTATACAGTCATGAATGGAACAGCTTCTACACATGCAGTTATGAATGGAACATAAATTCTATGCTCACAACAACAAATCTAATTGTGAGTCCACCTTGTTACACAGAAGATATGGTGCTAGAAGACACGTATGTTGGCAACCATAGACGCTGTGGTCACTATTACTGATTTTTTGCAAAGCCAGGTCAATCCCATAGTCAAGTGATGAGGAGTACTACTCCAGCCTGTCGGTGGTGCACCCTGCCTACTACTGGCTCCCTAGATACTGACTGTTGGTGGTGCACCTACCTACTACTGGCTCCCTAGATACTGACTGTTGGTGGTGCACCTACCTACTACTGGCTCCCTAGATCTTGACTGTCGGTGGTGCACCCTGTCTACTACTGGCTCCCTAAAAACTGACAGTTGGTGGTGCACCCTGCCTACTACTGGCTCCCTAGATACTGACTGTCGGTGTTGCACCCTGCCTACTACTGGCTCCCTAGATAATGACTGTTGGTGGTGCACCCTGCCTACTACTGGCTCCCTCTAGATACTGACTGTTGGTGGTGCACCTACCTACTACTGGCTTCCTAGATAATGACTGTTGGTGGTGCACCCTGTCTACTACTGGCTCCCTAGATACTGACTGTTGGTGGTGCACCCTGTCTACTACTGGCTCCCTAGA